AAGGATGATAGATAGATAGATAGATAGATAGATAGATAGATAGATAGATAGATAGATAGATGGGGTCTTCTCTTACATGGGTCACTATGGTGTCCAGGGGCCGAGTTTAAAAGCATCATAGCAGTGGCGGCATCAATGTCAGACTCTGTAAAGGACATAAAGACACACAGCGGTCAGAGCACTGCTCAGTGTCAGAGTGTGTGTGTGTTTATGTGGGGAAATCAAGGGACTGGAGTTTCTCTGTTTCCATGCATCCCTTCAGAACATTTGAATTATTCATTACCAGCCAGACAGAGGACAGAGTGAACACAACAGCCACCATACTCAAGGAGACGGAGAAAGAGAAAGAAAATGCATGAAAAGAACAAATAATGAAACCAGTCCAGCCTACATGAAAAATAAAAAAAACAAAAATCACAGGGTTCTCATACTTTGTGGCCAATGAGTTTCCATACTTTTGAAAGATGAGAAATGGGTATAACTTCTAATAATTAAAAAAAAAAAATAAAATAAAATAAATATAAACATAAAATAAATCAAAATAAACGCAATACATAAAAAATGAAAAATAAATAAATAAACTAACAAATATATAAAAATTATTCCCTGGGAGCATGGAAATGTTGAACAGTGGAGAGCTGTGATCATGAGAAATCACTAAAAATCATGTGGGTGTGATGTGTAAAACCGGTTTCCTAAACTCACAGCACGTGTCCTCAATGACTCAAATGACAGTCATTTAACCAGACTTAATCGCTTTCAAGCACACTGGAACATGCATGCTTTTATATGTTCTGTGACTAACAAGATTTCAAATTGGCACTTGTTTTGACAGACATTCAACTTAAAAAACAGAGATGGCTCACCTTTGAGAGAGCAGCCCTGGAGGAAGAGGTGACGTGCGGGTGAGAAGGCACTGTCAGACAGACACACACACACACACACAGAGACAGACAGTAAGACATAAAGCAGGACCATGAGTCAAGGCACTTATGATGACTTGAGAGCCAAATGACAATAGAACCACTTTTTCAGAGATGTGTGGAACAGTGCCGGTTTGCATGCATGCATCAAACATTAGCTAATGCATCTCCATTAGTTTGTGCTCTAGTAAATGTGTGTGTGTTACCTGGGTGGGGAAGCAGGGGGCGTGCAGAAGGAGTGGGCTGAGGGAAAGTGCTGTTTCTTCAGGGCTTGGATCAGATTGGGTCTGTATTCAGGGTCCACACACCACAGAGAGCCCTTCCCATTAACCTAGAAGAAACACATCAACATACACAGTTAGATCAGCAGGTAAGGACAGAAGATGACTTCAGCAAATCGAAAGTAAACAAACACTCATTTAGCAGACATTTTTATCTAATGTGACTAAACGCACACTTGGGTCACGCTGACTGAAACAACTGCTCAGGTCGCTTGTTGATTGCCAGGGATGTGGCATCAAATCAAATCATCAAAACTGTCTGTTCTGCTTAAAACCCCCAAAACACCCCTAAAGTGGGTTACTTTATATTGGTCAAATATTCTCCTGTCAAT